TTGTAAGTACAGTTAACATGTCTTAAAGGTAATATGCCACACGGCCTTTAAGTTGTGTACACAATAATGGAGGCTTTCCCTTTTTATGCAAAGAAATGGATCTGAATTCTAGAGGCAAAATTCACAGTTTCCATGGGGACACCTTTCTGCAGTCATTAAATGGCATCTTCATCCTGAAAACTGAACATCTAACACTACTACTGTTAACAGCATTTGTTACTTAGAATGTTTTTGAGGGGTTTTTTGTTTGTTTGTTTTTTAATACAGAGTATTTGTCATTATGCAACAGATTCAGAAATTTGATTTGGCAGTAAGATGTATATTCTCTCCAATCAGTATTAGACATGCTGCCTTTTTTTAATTAACACTGATTTTTATAAAGAAAGCAATGGGCCTGATTCTTAACAGCCTTGATGTTGTATGAATGGGAATAAAATACTATTGACACTGATTTGGAAGGGTTTTGAGACCAGTTTGTAGTAATTTTGCTGAAATAAATGCATTTTGCATGGTGTTCAGTGGCTGGTCAGGTCCAGTTATACGAAAAGGCAGGATAAACCTGAAAAAAGCAACTAAGAAAAAGGCAGCATTTCTGAATATGCTTATCAGTGCAACCCACTTGTAGTTCATCAGAGATTATGAAATACCAGTTAAAGTGATATTGAATGAAATGCCCAACTTGTAACTTTTAGTGTGCAAGTTACTAAAATCTTGAAAAATCAAAAGCACTTTCCCTGCTTTCTATCCAAAAAAGCATTTAGGCTCTGATTCACCAATGCATATGTTAGAAACTAAGCTTTGTGAAAACAGGACTTAAGCTTGTATTTTATTTAAGCACATACTTATTCTTTTGGCCAGAGTGTAAACCAACTTGTATTGTCAAATTCAATATCAATAGTATTTGTTTGTAGGAAATGAAAAGGAAAAAGCACTTCAGCTTAAATACTATTGACAGCCTCCACCAAAGTCTGTACTGTAGTTATGTTAAAGCCCCCTTTTTTCATTTTGATTGTACTACTTTGCACTGAAGGTGTGTTTTATTTAGATAGCGGTAAGCAAGACTGGGCATATCTACATGAGATGTTTATTGCAGAGCTGCCTAATTAGCTCTTCAGTAAAGTCTCTGTGTTTACTTGTGCAGCTCTATTAGGTTGCAGTAAACTAATAAATGCTGATATAGAGTAGTACTTGTAACTATAATTACTATCCTGCGGCAGGGTTCTTCAGTGCGCAGGAACGCATATGTAGATACTGATGTGACTGCCTGCATTCCCTCTGCAGCACACTGAGCTGGGTTGGAGCGGCCCCAGGCTGGCAGACTGACAAGTCCCAGCCCTCCCATCACACCATAATTTTGAACCTGTGAAGAAATCTTGAACCTCAGGGGCTGGGACAGAAGAACAGCAGCAGTTCGTCAGTCCCAGCCTTCTCACTACACCAGTCTTCTGATCATATCACTTCTATGGAGCAGTCAGATGTTGGCTCACCACATGTAAAAATTAGGGCTGTGTGAAGCTTCAGTCCCTGATTCGATTCAGCAGAAATTTGGCCCAATTTGGCCCCAAATCTCCAAATTTGAATTGAATCAGGAGAGCCTTTAATTTCTCTGAATCGAATTGGAACCCTCTAAATTGATTCAGAGAGATTCAGAAAGATTAGGAGATTTGGAGATGGACACAGCTTTAAATGTTTTTTCTACATACCTCTAGGTACCAGGCAGCTCATGAATGCTGAGATGCTGGGGCAAATGAAGCATCCCATGAGAGTGTGGGAGGCTCCCCAGCGTGCTCGGCAGCAGACCCAGAAGCGGAACAGAAGCACTTCTGGTCCACTTCCAGGTCCACTGGGGAGCATACTGGGGGGCCTCCTGCACACCTCCAGCTTGGCGACTGGTGCCTCCTCAGTCTGGAGGGGCACCTGGGTTCCCCCTGTGGCTGATCACTGAGCCAGGGGGAGATGGGGGTGGGGGGCAGTGTGCTCCCCAGCAGACCAGGAAGCGGATCGGAAGTACTTCTGGTCCACTTACGGATTTGCCGCCGAGGATATGGAGGGTCCTGCTGTACTCCTGTGGGACACTCCATCTGCCCCAGCATCGCAGCATTCATGAGCCACGCCTGGTACCTTGAGGTATGTAGAAAAAACATTTAAAGCTGTGTCTCTGGTCAAATCACTGATTGCCTGAATCAGCATCAAATCCTCAGATTCGGGTTCAGCTGAATCAAATCAGGGACAGTGATCCGAATCAGTGAATCAAATCACTGTCCCTGATTCGGGCCGAATCCGAATGCCTGTTTTGCGCACCCCTAAAAATATCTAAGCTCCTGATCTGGAAAATATCCCTAAGTAGTAAAAAACTTAAACACATGTTGGATTATGTCTTGTGCCCCAACACATGAAGTATGGAAGTTTGCTCGAATTGAAGTCAGTCAGCTCTTCACATAATGATGTTAAGATAAAGTTCTGTTAGACAAAAAAGTAGAAAAAAAAGAACATATCCATATAGGAATTTCAAAAAAGAAAAAGAGAGAGAGAGAGAGCATAGAAAAGAAAAGGAATTCAGAAATGTTGCTCTATTTAAAAGATAACAAGTTGGATTTAAACAGTAATAGTATGGGTGAAGTCGAATGCTGAAGTATGCATTTTTTTAATAGTTGAATAATACTTCTGATCTTGTGTTGTTATTTATGCAAAATTACCACTGAAGTAAGCGATAGATCTGGGTATTCAAGAAATGTATGGCTCAGTCCTTAAAGGGCCTGAACCAGTGATCAATTGTGCATGAATAAGTTTCATTGCATGATTGATCCCCATGAAATTGCTGGAATCTTATGTGAATAGCTGCATGTAAAACTGCACAGGGTCAGGATCCATATGTGCGGTTGAGCTTTTGTGGACACTCTCCTTGGTGCTGCAAGGTGGTGAGTGATTTAGTTCCGATTCAGCAAAGCATTTAAGCATGCATTTAATTTTCAGTGTGTGAGGAATTCTGCTGAATTCTGTGAATAAAGTTGTTAGTTTGACAAGATGCTGTACACTTTAGCCCCAGTCTAGCAAAGCATTTAAGCATTTTGCAGGGCTGAACCTTGTGTAGTAGTATTGATGAATGTGGTACTTGCGTGTTGAAGAACCTCTAGGCTTTGCCTCATTGACTCTAGGCACTTATATTAATGGCATTGGTGGCATTAATCACTTCTGCCAAAAGAAGTCATTTATGCCTCAGTGTTTAATTAGTTGTAAGGGTTTTCAGCCTTGCGTAATTGAAAAGCTATAAATCTGGTATTTGTCTGAGACAAAAACTAATCATGTTAAATGACATTAGTGCTTGACTCATGTAGGAAGAGGAGTATGCATTTTTGCCAGCCCACTAAAAATACTGGAGGGAACTAGATTAAGAAAAAGAAAAGCATTTCAATGTTTACCCATTTTATTGAAAACTATTTGCCTCATTTTTACTTATATTTGGTGATACTTGCTTTTGTCACCAATTAAATGTGTCTTGCGGGCCAACAGGGAAAATGCGTGAAATCATTTTATATACTTGTAATGTTCACATTAGTTTTCAAAATGGTTTTGCTTCCTAACCCTACCATTATACTGAAGCTTCTCACTTTGAAAGTGACAGACTGCGGATTGGTAAGTCCATCAGCTTTTTGTAAGTGTAATCATTCATAATTTTATGTGCAGTAGCATCTGATCACGTTCCTGTTTATACATTTTAAATCTATATCTAAATGCACATATAGTGTCTATTATTCAAATATTTCCAGTCTGTGAGACATTTTTATATTTTTACTTCACTCTCATGGTTTCTTCTCTTTTCACCAACTGAAAAAGATAATGCTTGATGTTACACTGGATATGGAAGTTTAAGTACCAGTCTAAAATATCTGCACTTTTTAAGCAGTCTTTTAGAACTAGTATAAAATATTTCTACAATCTACAGACCATTTGTATTTTCATGCTGTCATGCACAAATAATAAATGGTTGCACATTAAAATGTTGTATGTTTTCAGTAGTCTCTTACAATCTTTGATTTTTTTGCCAAGTTGCCAGTGTGCCCAAAAATATTTGTATACAGCCAGTAATGATTCATTTTCAGTAGCCTCAATATATTTTGGTTGGCTCATATCATTTTTCTATCCCACTTCAATTTTCCTTTCTTGATCCCTGATCTTTCTTAGATCAACTAATGCCTCCCTTTTTACACTTCAATTTTCAAGTTAACTCTATATACTCTTATAATTCGTGTAGTGGTGAAGTAATTGAAAGGTAAGACACTTCAGGGTACCAGCTTTTGGTAAGCATTCCTGGAATTCTTTTTAAGGTGTACAGAAAAAAATTGATCACTGAAGGATATGCTGAAGTTGTTTCCTGCTTAAGTGCTTTAGTGCTTTGCTTAATCAGATTTTAGGGATATACACACCAAACCTCAAGGGAGTTTCAATGGAAATTGGACGCCTGTTTCTTTCGGGGTCCCTTTAAAAATCTAATCCAAAGTATTTTCGAAGAATGTAAACATCTATAAGATTGTTGAGTTATTTGACCTTTTTTTTTAAAACTTGTGGTTCTTTTCCCAATAATTAATTTCCCATGCCTTATTTTGTCACACATGCAAACAAAGTAAATTCAATACTAACCTTTGTACACGATGCAGACTTCATGCCCAAAAGAACAAAAAAAGAATTGAAATAATGTATAATCTCTAAAATGTTGCCAAGCCCATGCTGACACATTTTATAGAGAGAAATTTGTCTCAAAATTTAAATGTTCTTTTCTGATGGAAAAGGATAGCATCTATCTGCCAAGCACATAACACATGCGCTTTGGATAGAATAGTGGCTATAAAATGCTTTTCTTTCTTTCTTTTTTTTTTTCTCTCTCTTCCTCTCTCTCTCTCTCATGGTGACTTCAGATTAAGTATGGAGATTTTGTTGGGGGGGGCATGGGGAATTACTTGTCAGCCTGCGATAATTTGCTTTTCCATCTGGTCTTTCCACAGGAGAAAAGGTGATGCAAGATGATGAATTCACCTGTGACCTTTTCCGCTTTCTCCAATTGCTTTGTGAAGGACACAATTCAGGTTTGTGGGCAACCTGCCAGCCAGCTAAGCCTAAGAGACAGTAACCAGGGATAAAAGCTCATCAGTGTTGAGGGGTTGGCAACTCTTAATGAAATACTATGAAAGGTGCTTCAGCAGTTGAACTGTTCATGAATGAAAAAATATTTGGGGGGTAATTAAAATGTCAGTTTTTTGTATTCATTTAAACATTGAAGAAAAATAATGCACACAAAATTACGATTCTTGGAGCATGGTCTATATCAGAGGTGGGCAAAATATAGTCTGTGGGCCGGTTCCAGCCCACCAATTGATTGGATCCAGCCCATGGTTTTCCCCTCAGCTCTCTGCATGGGGGCGAGCCCATGCCACACTCCAGACCATGCCTACTGGCCGCAGTCTGGGCCAGTACACACAGCTTCCAGAGGGGCTGTTCCCAGTGTGGCTGCAGCTACCTGGTTGATGTTTAGCTCCCCTTGCCTGCAGCAGCAGCTCCTTCTCCTGCTCTTGCTATGATGCTCTGGGTGGGAGGAAAGCTTCAGCTGGCAGGTCCTGTCCCAGCATGCAGGCCTCCAGCTCCAAGCTGCCTTCCACCCACTCAGCTACAGCCGGAGCTGTGGCCTCATACACTAAGGCAGGAGCCACCCAGCTGACACTTCCCCCCTGCCCAGAGCTGAGCAGCAGGAGCAGGAGGAGGAGTTGCCGCTGGAGGTGGGGAGCTGAGCAGTCCACATATGGCTGCAGCGATACCAGAAGCAGCCCTGCCAGTAAGCTGTGCACCCTGGCCAGGTGTGGGCTGGAGCGTGGCTTGAGCTGCCCCAGGCAGGTCTTGGCCCCAGGCTGAGTGCCGTGGGAGCAGCCACGGACTACACTTCCTGGACTGCACATGGCCCCGCCCTCTCCTCCCATCCCTCATGCTTGGCTGGCTCCCAGGACCTAGCACCCAGACAGCCCCTCTGTCACGCACATGCACACATGCCCTGCCCCCAGACACCCCATCCACACCCACCCCCCATAGGGCAGGGGCATGCAAGGATCATGGCTCTGCTCAAAGCCTGGCCCCGTGCTGTCACTGCCCTATGACCCCGCCACATGTTTCTCGCCTCACCTGCCTATCCCGCTCCTGAATACTGCTCCCCTATTCACCCATGCCCCTATCCCACTTAGGGAGTTTTGGTGAGTTGTGGTGGCAAGGGATGGAGGAGTGCTGACCCGGCTCACCACAGCTGATCAAAACCCTCTATGTGGTCCCTGGGCCCAAATAATTTCCCACCTCAGTCTATATGAAAGATAAAATAAATAGAAAACAAAGTCTACCTCTGGTCGCAGAACACCTCTAGGAATCTTGTCAGCCACCCAGCTCTAGCTCCAGCTCTGCAAATGCTAAAGTGCTGAAAAAATGATAAATAGAGACTGTTCGGTATGGCCTATGGCCAGAACCACTGTGTTGTGAGTATGCTTAGGACAGTGGACCCACAAATTTGTTTCTTTATCTGGTGTATGTGGCATGAGAGTGAGTGGGCAGGGCCTGTTTTAGTGGCAACATTCCCTAGCACCATCTGAGAATGGTGTAGACTTAACCTGACCATGTATGCAAGGATCTGTTTGACACAGAAGGTGATTTAAAGGGTTAAACATTACCCAAAGAGTATATGGGAGATTTTTGGTGAAGAAAGAACAATGTTTCACCACATATAAAAGCTAGAAAATACACCAACTTTTTTTAAATGTAATTTTAAATACACTCACTTATATACTCAATGATGATATAAAAAAATCAGTTTGTAGATGTTGAAGATACTGATATAATTGTCATCAAGAATGCGATAATGGTGCAACTAGATTCTGTTCTTATTTACATAAGTAAATCAGGAGTAACTCCACTGAAGTTAATTGAGCCTTGCTGTTATACAGTTGGTAAGATCATTATCAGTTTTATGCTAGGTTCACAGGAGAAACAAGGTACTAACACTTCTGACACACACACTGTCCTCAGTTAAGTGATGTCAGTTAAGAATATATAAACTGTTCACTGGATTAAAACATGTATGTAAACCTGGAAAGAAGTTTAAAAGATGTTTCATCCTTTAAATTAAAATTTTACCAATGAATGTTATCACAATTAATTAGAATTAGTAAGTCTGTGATATTTTGAGATTTAAATAATTGTTAACTAACTCATCACATTTTTAGATTTTCAGAATTATTTGAGAACTCAGACTGGCAACAACACAACTGTCAATATTATCATCTCCACTGTGGACTACTTACTGAGAGTTCAGGTAAATTGTTTTTTATATTAATTGAATTTAAATAAATGGCTTTTTAAAATTGCATATATCAAGCATGGCTAGCAATAAGTATATTTTGTTTTGCTTTGCTTGTAAGAGGACAAAGTCAATATTAGGCATGTATTTTCTTCACAATACTCCTACACTTGACTGTCTACCACCTAGCTTATAAAGAAACTAGTTAGAGGATATGAAACAGGTTTTTTGAGCTGGTCTGATGTCAGTTCTGGCTTTCTGCACTTAATTTTCCCTTTACTCAGTCATCTCCCTGAGAAGCAAAAACAGGGTAGAAAAAGGCTTCAGCGAGAGGTTTGTGGAATTGTAGCTATGCCTCTAAATGATGTAGATACATTAACAAAACTTCTTGGTTTAAAAGATCTAGATTTGAGAGGCTCAGTCCAGTGTACACAATCTTTCCTGTAATAGCAATGGTTTGTTAGTTTGGGAAGTCTTGGAAATTACCAATCAGTGGCATTTTGAAGAAGAAACTAGAGTTATGGTGCAATTTCTGGAATTACTTTGTTTTCTGCAGAAGCAGTTCATTTCATCTGATTTTTTTTCCCCACTGACCTTCATGAGATTGGAGAGAGAATCTAGCTAAGAGGCCTTACTGAGGAAGATCTTAATATGAAAAAGAGGATCCTTAAACTAGGAGTGTGAAACTTACCCTATGCTCTGGGCCCGATCCAGACTGTAGGGCTCTTTCATAGATGGGATCCAACCTGGGACATGGGACAGTAGCAGCAGGACTGGTGGGGACAGTGGCAGGCCTGGTGACTGCTGTAGTAGGACTGGCAGCAGTAGGGCAAGAGGTAGTGGGACCAGTGACTCTAGAGCGAGCAAAGCACAGTTTTCTTGCCCTCCTGCTACTGATGGCCATGTCTACCAGGGCCCAGGGGCCCTGGATTCTATGTTAAGCCACCCCCTTGCTGGTCAACCCCCTCCCCCCCCCCCAATTTTGGTAGCCTGTTAGTCCAGATGGCTCCGAGGGCCACATGGTTAACACCCCTTCTTTAAACAAAAGCCAAGGTTTTCTGTTGCTCCCAGGCACCTAAGCAGCCTTGATCTTTCATTGCTCAGTCATAACCTGCATTTCTTTTCTTTTCCCTTGCCCTTCTTTTTACAACTGTTTGCCTCATTTTATCATGATGTGGAGTTGATGTAGGTTGTGAAATGCTCAAGATAATACAGTTCAAACACACAAACAGGTTCTTTCCTTCAGATCCTTGTGTGATACTTCCTATCATAAAATCATCGCTCCTTTCATTACTAGGCCATTAAATGGCAGGATTAACATCCATCATGCATCATTTATTCTCCTTTCTTATTAGAGGAGCATGGGTATAGTGATGTATTTATGATAGAAGAGGAAAAGTCTAAGAAATTATGAGGGTTGTAGATGTTTCTCAGTTCCATTCCACAATAGTGGGCTTATATCATGGACAGTTCTACCTCTTGCACATTTAGCCTTTGTTCTTACTATAAAAAAAAAGTTCTGTTCTGCCAGAAGACAAAGGTTATCAACCACAGTCCTTATCCCAGAGTTTTAGATCATCTCCTAAACAACCAAGTCCCAGACCATTGAATAGCCTGAATAAAGGGGTTGAGACCTGGCTTAATATAATCTGTAGGAAACCAGAGCAGAGAGCAAAAGAGAGGGTTTGATGTGGTCACTGTGCCACCCCCTGGACACCACATGCAGCATTATTTTCTCTTTTCCCCAACAGAGACTCCTGCATCAGCAGCTGCTATTACCATATTTCCTTACTTACAAAACACACCTCAATATCCAGCAGCTGATTTTTTTTTTTTAAAAAGGTGTGTGGTATGCAAGAAAACATGGTAATTTCTGTAACGTTTTGCATAACACAGATGCTGGAGGCTCAGGTGCACTGAGCAGTGACAAAGATATGACTAATGAAGGTTAACTCATCAGCTACCAGGATGAGATGGAGTCTCCTAGGTAACCAGCAATAGTAGAAAGTGTAACTTGCAGATGCCTTTGTAGGAGGAATTTAAGTATGCTCTCAGACTCCAGACTGAACTGGCCAATTTCTTGTGCATGTCTTCAGTAGCTCTGAGTCTTTAGAATGCATTTTTTGCTACCATTATGTCTATCTCTAATTAAGCTTTAAGCAACTTTCTTCAACCATGATCTGATGTTGCCCAATAAATATGGTGTAATCCTATGGAGTTAGGGATAAAAAGAACTGAATATTGGGTTTCTTCAGTACTGATTGGGCAATTGTTTGAAAGAAGAAGGGAAAATTTCTTCCTTGAAAGAAGCATTGACTATTTTGGTCATTGGTGGCAGCATGTGCTTATTGTCTCCCTTTTACAAGCATGGATCAGATGTATGTGTCTTGAGTAAGAACACTGTTCGAGAAATTCTACTCTCTGATACTCTGCCCTGCATCCTGACCAGGTCCCTTCTGCTGAATACTGCTTGGAGCAGTGGCAGATTCCTTATTAAAAATGGGAACTATAGAAGAACTACATACCTAAATAAATAAAGGGAATAAAAGCCTTCTACCAGAGGCATTACTGCTTTTATCACATCACAGGCTTGAGGAAACTGCACACTTGTGTCAGAAAGATCAAATTCCATATGACTATGACTTACATTGCCTCTACCTTTTATCCTTCTTGTAGCACAAAATATTCACCAAGTTAACAATGTCAGTATCATCTCTTGGGCAGCAAGAAAAGAGTGCTAGTAACTGAATAATAACTGATGCAGATCTACAATCTGTCATCCTTTTGAGAAATCTTAGACCATGCAGTCAGTTCCTTCCAGTTTATCCAAAGATGTGGGGACAGAAATGCATCATGATAACCTGCTCAGGGAACAGTCCTTATTTTTTGCTCTCACAAATTTAATTTAAGCCAAAGCTGTGTTTGCGAAAGAAACATTTATATACATTTCTGAAGCTGTAATGTTTCTGAAAAACGCTCACAAAGGTGAGTGGAACATTTTCTCAGACTGAGGAATCTCATGATCTGTCCCAAATACATAACACTTTTCTATCCAGCTCTGGATGAGAAAATTGGGACACTGAGTGACATCAATATTCACTAAAAAATATAATTTACATAAGTGCATCCTTGGAGTACTTCTTTGAAAGTCTTTAGGGAAATTTAAAGGACTGTACACTGAAATGCACCTCTTTTAATTCTCTAATTCCATCAGTAGTAGTTATTACAGATACCTTCATTGTGGTCCACAGTACTTTTTCTCATGGATCTTCTGAGGTATTTTTTATCATTAACTTTCATTTCAAGTGATGCTATCAAAATCTTGTTTCTCGGGGGTTCATGGGCAAAAGGGCAGTCAGAACTGTGATAAGAATGATTCCAATGAATGAATCTCCTGATTGTATCCGCCTGTAAGCACCCCGATACACAACTGCCTGCTATTTTAATTGCTAAAAAACACAAGACATGATCTGAGAAACTTGAACCCTGCAGCATTATTTTGTTGTTCTTTAAATATGAAAACTCTACATTGTTGTAGCACATCAGAAGGTAATGAAAGTATCTAATTCATTTTCTGAACCAAGTGTATGAAGCACATAACAGTCTGTTTTTAGTAAACATATTCATCATTTTACATGTTTGTCTCACCTGTCTGACAATCCACTTCACTGCACAGCACGCTAATTTTTTTTTATTTAGCCAATTAAATTTTCCTTTTTGACTTATTTATTGTTTCTAAAAAGTCCAGAATGCAAAAATCAATCATTTTTCAGTTGCTACCACTGTTATTACCAGCTTACTGTTGTGGACCCGTAAATTCAGTAGAAGCTGTAGGGACATTTGTAATCCTAATGAAAATAAACTTTTCCTATTGTGTAGTTACTTTTTGATTAAATAAAAAATTGGCTTTCTTTGGAAGAAATGGAAGGATGAATCCATTCTCTGGGAATTCTTGGTCCTGTGATTTAGTAAGGTGCTGAGCACACAGTGTACATGCACGTGGTCCAAAGACACTTTTCAGTATAGTGTTTCTGATGACTATCCTAGTTTAAGGAGTCATACTATAGAATTAGAGTGAAGAAAGTCCAGCTAATCTAGTCAAAAGCTAGATTTGTGTTTCCTTTTTTTTTTCTGTGGGTTCCTTTGGAGATGAGGTAGAAAATGCATTATGTTGATGATACCCAAGAGCGACTATAGCATGATTTTAAATCCATGTGAATAGAAATATAAGGAAAACTTTGCTCCCATTTATATTTAGATTGACCTAACCCTGGATCTAAATGCTCACTTACATAGGTGTTCAGAGGGTTTAATTTGGCCAAAAGGTGGCACACCCAATTTAAGTTAATGCACCTCAAAAGGTGTGCAAACTTAATTTGAGAGAGGATTAACCCAGTCTAGTAAGGGGTTAACCCAACCTTGCAAATATCTGCATCCATTTGCAGCACAGCTCCAGGTCTAGGAAAACCTAGCTACTCACTCTAGCCACATGGCTGTGCTGTTCTCACCCCCTGACAAGCTATTTTCAGCCCCCCCAAATCTCTTCTCTGACCAAGCATACCTGCCAGCCCCACCCCCCTCTCCTATCCCTCCAACCTCTCCCCCACCCTAAGTTACTTATGTTGGGCACCCCATGCTGCTCCTGGCAGTGGCAAATGGCTGCACCTGCTACTCCTGGCAGTGGTGAACAGCTGTACACAGTGCTTGTGGTCTAGGTTTTGGTGGCTTAAAGCAAGCCATCAAAACCTAGACTAGCTGTAGTGAACACTTCTTCACACCCAAAGCTCACTCTTAAAATTTGTTTCAGAATAATACTATAAAACTAAGGAGAGGCTGATAATTTGTGTATACATGTGATCTGTTATGAGCTATTTCATCTGTTTTATAGGAATCAATTAGTGATTTCTACTGGTATTATTCTGGGAAGGATGTTATTGATGAACAAGGACAACGTAATTTCTCCAAAGCAATTCAAGTTGCAAAACAGGTCTTTAATACTCTCACAGAGTATATTCAGGTAAATTGTTTACATTGTCATTTTCATTAAATTATGAAGATAATCATTGTTTTAGCATAGAGGAATAATGTAGGTATCTTTACAGTTATACTAAGGAGCTATACCAATGTTTGCATACTAGTATGAGAATGAAGTTTTGAAATAGATGAAGCGATTGTTACTTTTATTGCAGCCTGAGAAGGCTAGACTGATACTCAGTTATCACTGAATTATCACCCCTTCTTTTTGTAGCCAAGATTTCTCCTTTCCTTTTACATCCAATAATAGGTTGTATCCATTCCTTTTCAACAGGACCTCACTTCCATAATTTAGGTTTTGCCATCTCAAGAGTAGACTATGGCAAAGAATCCTACTTAATCACTTTGAATCCTCCTGAAAGCTAAAGTTATTGTGGAATGCAGCTGTGTTTAGTAAATGGAACATGATATTAGTAGCCTCCTTGAAATACCTATGCCATACTGCCATGTCTGAGATCTACAGAGACATGCTTGACCTGTACTCCCTTCACAGTAAATACGAAGCTGCTGCTGACAAGACGTGATGAGCATATTGACAAACGCAGGAGGAAACTAATAATTCTGTATTCAGGGCAGGGCCTGGAAGGTGTGCAGCAAATAAAGGAGTCATACATTGCATAATGAAGTCAAGGATATTGAATTGTATCTCATTCCCTGAGAGCTATTCATTCTGTGTACCAAATTAAGCAGAGGTCCAGTGGAAAAGTTTTGATTTGCGTATTCCCTAACGTTTTTGAGTGCTTGACTTTTACAATTTTAATAACAAGTTTTTAGTGTAATTTTCTTTGTATATTGTTAAGTCTTTTTAAGGAAGTGAGAAGAAAATCCTGTTACACTATTGAGTAGTTCTATATAAAATTGAGACTTTCATTTTAACAATTATTTCATGTTTTGATTATGGAAGCTAAGATTCAAGTAAAAAACGTTTACTGTTTAAAACTACAATAAGGCTAAGTACAGACAGTCAAAAAGCCTGAGGCTGAATTTATTCAGTCTTTGCAGGTTAGTCTAAGCTACAAAGTTTGAACCAATAAGCAAATAAGCAGGCAATTACTTTTGATTGAGGAAATGCAGCCACATGCCTGGGCTAGAGCATGCCTATCAGCTGCGGCCAAAGGGAAGGGAAGAGAGAAGCCCTCCAGGAATTTCCCCTACTTCCCTGCTGAAGGGGGGAGGGGAGGGGATGGCTGCCAGGGTGAGGAGGGGAGTAGATGCGGAAAAAGGTAGTGGCATTGTTTCACAAAAGCTTGAATAAGAATAGTTCTTTCTCTGAAGAACTATAAACACACCCTGACTGTGTTTGCTTCCTCTTCCTGCTCCCCCTGAGATCTCTGGGATTTGCAGTCCATAGTCATAGAAGCAGGACTCTGCAGGGTTGCTCATCACTTCCTCTTCCTGCTTCTAGGTGCCTCTGGAATTTGTAGTCCACAGCTGCAGCCAGCAGTAAGCAAGCAGGGCAGGGCAGGGCAGCGCTGTACTTGGGGGAAGGGGAGTTTAACCCTCCTCCCTGGCCTCTGACCCCAACAGGGGGTGAGGGTGGGGCAGTAAGCCAGCCAGTGAGGCCAGTGAGTCAGCCGTCACTGCTCCAGCTAGGAAGCACAGGAGTGTGGACAGCCCTGCTCTTTGGATTGTCACAACCCAAGGGTGTGATTTTGTTTTTGTGTGTGCTTTGGCACCACTGAATTATTTTCCCGCCATTTATAGCTTTCTTTGCAGGGTGCATTTCTTCTTCGCAGCATAAGAAATGCACGTTGCAAGGAGTTCCCACCATTCTAGCCGTATAAGAGGATTGAGTGGTTTCCGCCCAAGTTGGAGGACTCCACGAACATCAGGAGGAGGAGACTTCACGTCTCGTGAAGATCTCTAAGCACTGCGGAGCCTATTGGACCCAGCGTGAATATCAAGAAGGCAACAGGGGTCTGATCAGCCTCT